TTGACGCCGATTCCTTTTAGGTCTTCCTCAGGCAATGCGCGGCCGACCATGGGACTGGGGTCTGGTGGACAGGGACAGGTTAAGCGGGAAGTATTTGGGAGGTTGGATGTTGGGGAGGGCGGGGATGTGAAGCGGCCCCGGCTATAGCATGCTTGCTTGCAGGGCAGGGAAGTGGGACTTCCGGATGGGACTCTCGGATGCGAGTTTTGTATTGATAGTGTTTCTTGTTTTCCTTTTAAGTGAATGGTTGTAGCATAGTCGCTCCTTGCTATCGATGTTTTTTTTGTCAGATGGAGGCGGCGGTCTTGCGACGAGTCAGTGGGTGATGCGTTTTGGGCGGTGATCAACGCAGAGCACACCCCGCATCGATGTCGCTGCAGATTTTACAAAGACGACACAGATGGGCGCATATAGAAATCGGAGTCGGCATCCATGCCGGAAATCTCTATCGCACCGCGTCGGCGTAACATTCAGCTCTCGCAGGACCTAAATCTACACCTCCCTCTTAGCTCAGTGGTAGAGCGCATCACTCGTACATGGAATGTTATGATGAGGTCAGTCGTTCAAGTCGGCTAGGGGGAATTCGGGAGTTGTAGGACATAATCCCAACTTTTTGTAGTATTTCGTGGACCATCTGAGAAGCAGAGCTGTCAGTGTACAGTGTATTATTATAAATTACAAATAAAACGCAACTTGCCAGCACAGTGTCGGAGACAAGGGTAAAATTTGTAGTGGCAATAAGTCCTGGGATTGGGTACAATTCCACAAGAATCAAGATGATATACATGTCCTTTCTTCTTTTCCTTGAAAATGATATTTGCGGCGCGGCCACCACAGACCACACAATCCCGGATTCCTGGGACCTGGAATGCTCTGTCACCAAGTTCTAACACCCCATTGTCCCTCTTAGCTCAGTGGTAGAGCGCGTCACTAGTATTTGAAAGCGAGTACTGGAATAGTTGTACCATGACGAGGTCAGTCGTTCAAGTCGGCTAGAGGGAACTGGCAGAGGAGTCACGTTTTTATGTCTCTCTGTCGATCCATGTCAATGGTTAAGGTGGAAGTAAATCCCTCCTAGTTCAGTGGTATGATCAATTAGCCTCGTTGATTCATGATGAGGTCAGTCGTTCAAGTCGGCTACATAGGAAATAAGTAGGATTGGATGAATTCCCTCTATTCTGGCTTGGATGTTTTCTGGGACTTGATGTTTTTCTGGTGAAGAAGACTGTACGTATCCCTCTTAGCTCAGTGGTAGAGCGCGTCACTAGTATTTGCTTACTCGAAGAGTCGAAATATGACGAGGTCAGTCGTTCAAGTCGGCTAGAGGGAACTGGATGGGGAGGTCTTGCACAATTCTCTTTTTACTTCAAT